CACTGCAGGGGGGTCTCCCCAGAGCAGAGCGCAGCAGAGGGGCACAATCCCCCCTCGCCCTGCTGGCCACGCTGCTGGGGGTGCAGCCCGGGGTGCGGGGGGCTCGCTGGGCTGCCAGCGCACATTGCCGGCTCACGGGGACCTTCTCACCCACCATCACCCCCAGGTTCTTCTCCTCAGGGCTGCTCTCCATCCCTCCATCCCCAGCCTGTATTGATAACGGGGGTTGCTCTGTCCCATGTGCAGGACCCTGCACTTGGCCTTGTTGAACCTCGTGAGGTTCACATGGACCCACTTCTGGAGCTTGTCCAGGTCCCTCTGGATGGCATCCTGTCCTTCAGGCGTGCCAACTGCACCACTCAGTGTCATCGGCAAACTTGCTGAGGGTGCACTCAATCCCACTCTGTGTCGTTGATGACGGTACTGGTTCCCATGTGGACCCCTGAGGGACACCACTTGTTACTGATCTCCATCTGGACATTGAGCCATTGGCCACTGGTCATTAATACGACCATCCAACCAATTCCTCATCCACCGAACAGTCCACCCATCAAAGTCCTTGCCTCCTTTAGATTTATCATCCTTTAGATTTACCGTCCTTCATGGTTCCTCCCTTCTCATTTATATTCATGACTATCGGTTTCCCCTTTTTACCTTTCCGTAGTTATTTTCGTTTCCCCTTTAGGGTGTGTTGGGTGTGTAACCAGTGTGGCCATCTTCCTCAATCATGGGGTTGTGGCTTTTCAGCCCTCAGCTACCTCAGAGTTTTTCTCCATGCGGCATTTCTTACTTCTCCGAGTCATACTGGGTCTGGTAGCTGGTCAGGAACCGGTGGGAGATGAGTGGGCAGATGCCATCATCGCAGAGCCACCAGCGGTGGGGGCTCTGGTGGAGCAGCCTGGTTGTCCCCCCTGCCTGACCTGGAGCCGAGCAGATGCTTAGCACCATACACAGCACATTTGTATACTTAGCTTTTAATTACAACGCAGGACATACTGATGCGGCACGAGTATCCATGTGGAAATAGGGAAGGCAGCAAGGAAGGAAGAACTTAACCTCACTGTCTGTGATTGCGGAGCTGCTTTACATCTGGTTGTTATTAGGATGCCCAGATGTGGTGGCGAGAAGCCAGCAGTAGTGAAAAAGGTGTGAGGGAAGGAGGAGGCCCTGGAGGATGCTCTTCCCGGGCTGCTGGGACTAATCCGCCTCTCTGGTGTCTGCGCAGGCGTGCTACGGCATCCTGAAGGTCCCCATCGGGAGCTGGCTGTGCCGGACCTGCGCCCTCGGCGTCCAGCCAAAGTGTCTACTGTGCCCGAAGAGAGGAGGAGCGCTGAAGCCCACCCGGAGCGGGACGAAATGGGTCCACGTTAGCTGTGCCTTATGGATACCTGAAGTAAGATGTTTTCCAAGCTCCTCTTGACGTGCGGGTGGGCACGGACCTGGTTTCAAGTCTCAGCCCAGGATGTTCGTTAGCGGTCTGAATAGCAAGTCCGGTTTGGCTCGTCAAGCCATGCCGAGGTCAGAGCTGCGATGCTGGTCGGTCATTGGGCTGTGTGTTTAATTAGCAGCCAAGGGGCACCCTCTGTTAAGGGAGGACACAGAGGTGGGGTGCAAGGACACAAGAGGTGGGGGGAATTCATAGGACCTTCCTGGGCAGGGTAAAGCTAGTTTCATGTGCCCATCTGAGCTACACAGTAATATCCAAATGAGGAATTAATGCAGAGAAAGCACCAACATGAATTTTTCCTTCCATTTCATCCAGATTTGTTTTTGGGGGGTTGTGGGTTTTTTTTTTCCCAAATTACAAGTGACCCTGAAAAATAACATTAAAAGTCCATCCCTCTTTCAGACTGCCGCAGACATTCCCCTGTTGGAGATTTGGGATGGTAACCAGTATTTACAACTTGTCTTTCTGTTTCGTGACCAGGTTAGCATTGGATGTCCTGAAAAAATGGAACCCATTACGAAGATCTCACATATCCCAGCAAGCAGATGGGCTTTGTCCTGCAGCCTCTGCAAGGAGTGCACTGGGACGTGTATTCAGGTACGTAACGCAGCACCGAAGAAACTCAGACCTCCAGGGTTGTGCCTGTAATAGCCACTGGAGATTCTCGAGATGTCGGTGGACACGGTCTGGCCAGGGCTTATTGCTGCTCTGAGTAAATCTAGCGACAGGGAGCGGTAGCGCCCATCAGACATCATCAGATGTTGTTTGCAATCATTTAATGTATTGAGTGCGAGGAATCTAGATTAACTTTCTTTGCATAACACAGCGATGTTGCTGTAGTGACACTAATTACCGGGACTGCAAATGACCTTGGTTTGAAATCAGGAACCTCTGGCAGAAAGGCTTAGCGTAGCTGCCGGGGAAGTGAGATCCTCGTGAGATACGTGTTTCACAAACCAGTGGGGGTTGGCCGGGAAGCCTTGCAGCTGGTGGGATATGAGGAAACCCCGGGATGAGGTAGTCCTCGCTCGCCTGCTGGCTCAGAAAATAGACTATTTACCGCGTATTACATTCCCACATTTTCTCCACACCTAAGCAAACCACCGCAGACATCTGATTGCCTGCTCTCCCCACAGCAGCAGCAGCGTGCTAACGAGGGGGCGAGACGTGCTCATTTTAGACCAAAAACGGGACGCTCTGGGCTTTCCTGTTACAAAAGTGGGGACGGAGCTCCCCGGGCCATCGTGTGTCTTCCTGGAGAGCAAAGAGCAGAAGCTTCCGTCCAAAACACAGTGCGCTCAGTGTGAGAGCATCTGGGGAGCTTTGCTGCTCGTCTGCATCCAACGATTCCCTCTGCTCTGCCAGTGTGATGTCCCAGCGGTCCCTGGGGATGGGCTGGGGGATCTGCTGCAGTGCCAGTGCCTCTCGCTTTCGTTGGCAGACCAGGCATCGAAGCAGCCTTGGCATGCAGGGGCGGTTGGAATAGCCATTAAGCTTTGAAAAATTGGGAGAAAGTTTTGGATGGAGTACCAATCCTGACTGATCAGCTCCTGTACAGCAACGGGAGCTGCTCCTCGGAGGTCGGCGGAGGCAGCGGTGGCTGTCGGGGACCAGAAATAGCTGTCTGGTTGCAGAAGGGCGATGGGAATGGGAGGTCTGCAGGTTCCGCTGCGTTTGTGGAACTGCCTTGGGTTTAGTGCTTTAAAGGGAGCTATTTAAAAGCAATCCCCTCAGCTTGAAATGAAATCTCACAATACTTCTTTAAATCTCTAGCGTTGACTCACTTCTTTTTTGATGGCTCTGGGTGGATCTGCTTATTCACCCTGCCAGATGGAGATACTGTGTCATAACGGCAACTGCTTTCAAAGAACGGAAGGGCAGGGAAGGAGGCAAACAGGCTTGGCAGCATCAAAAAGAATTCAGCTTCTCTGAGGCTTCATCCTCTTAGCGCCGGCATGGCACAGGAGCTGTGAGATCCCTGGGACGGAATGGATTTGCATTAAAGGTCACCTGAGATGGAACAGGAGCTTTATTGTCTCCTGTGCCGACAGCTCGCGGTTTATAAGCCTTCACAAGGTTGTCACCGGAGCGTTTGCCGAGGCCACCCCGGCACGCTCAGGATGGGTTTGCTTCAAGGAAAAGAGGGGGGAAAAAAAAAAAACCAACCAGGCAGTGCCTTTATTTAAGGATTTATGGGGTAAATCAGCAAGTTCACCCATAGATAAATAAACACGCTCCGTACTCATCAGCGGTACAGAGCTCTGTTTTGAAAGCTTATGTTTATGGAGCATATTTTTGATTACTGCCTGTTTATACAGGTGTAATCTAACTACTTTTGTCAGCGTTTCAGGTTTATGACCCAGCTCTGAAAGGAGAAGGTTGTTTTCTGTTTGAGCACTGAGCTTTTATCGCTGGCAGCGGGAATCAGGTGCCGCGGGGGGGGGGGGCAGGTCTGGGGAAGGAGGGGGTGTTGCTTCCAGGAGGGGCATTTCCACGGGGCTGGGTAGAACTGGGCTCTGCTGAAACAGGAGGTGAGATCTGGAAGGCAGGATGGAGGAGCAGAAGACCGTCATCCCAGAGGGGCGCGGGGATGCTCAGAGGCAGCAGCGCTGCGTAAGAAAACGCCCACCTTGACTACATCTGCAGAGACCGATGTGCGGAGGTTTTTCATAGGCGCCTCTCTGCATCGCGGGGATTTTCTCCATCCAAATTTCACCATCGAAAGGGAAACAAACCCGGGGAAGCTTCCCACTGCTCTCCATGCCTCTGACCTCGCCGCTTGCACGTGATTACTTCCCTGGCTTTCCTGGTGCAGAGCTGGGAACCCAGCGTAACTCGGCATGGCCATAGTCGAGCCAGAGCTCCCGGGGCCAGGCAGGGATGCAGCCCTGGAGGCACGCTTTCTCTGGCTCCCATCAAGGGGAAATCATGACTTCACGGTGGTTCTTGTGGTCAGACATCAGGAGATGCCAAAGGGACTTGAGTATCCAGCAGAAATTTTCTCGTTTGCATTGCGGAGATGGAGAAGAGAGTGCCGGGAGCGGGGCTCCGGCACAGCCTGAGTCCCGGCCGCGCTTGCTTGAGACCCTGCTCCGTCCTCACCAACTCCCTCCTCGCGTGTCACAGCAACTGGAAGAGCTCACCACGACCTTTCAATGCAGCGCAAAATGCCAGGTCTCTGTTAGTTGCTGGCAGGCTTCTCCGAAGGGCATGATCTTTTGCTGTCATCATCTCCTAGCTTGCTTTTTTTGTGGTGTTTTTTGGAGAAAAAAAGCCCTGGGAAGTGTCCTCCACCACTCAACTCGTTGTTACGGACTCGTGCATGGACAGTGGGGTTGAGTGCACCCTCAGCAGGTTTGCCGATGATACCAAGCTGTTTGGCGAGGTAGACATGCTGGAGGGGAGGGATGCCGTCCAGAGGGACCTGGACAGGCTGGAGAGGTGGGCCCAAGCCAACCTCATGCAGTTCAACAAGGCCAAGTGCAAGGTCCTACAACTGGGTTGGGGCAATCCCAAGCACAAATCCAGGCTGGGCGGGGAATGGCTGGAGAGCAGCCCTGAGGAGAAGGACCTGGGGGTGCTGATTGAGGAGAAGCTCAGCATGAGCCAGCAATGTGTGATCGCAGCCCAGAAGGCCAACCGGACCCTGGGCTGCATCAGAAGTGTGGCCAGCAGGGCGAGGGAGGGGATTCTGCCCCTCTACTCCACCCTGGTGAGACCCCACCTGGAGTACTGCGTCCAGCTCTGGAGTCCCCAACATAAGAAGGACATGAACCTGCTGGAGCGTGTACAGAGGAGAGCCATGAGGATGGTCTGAGGGCTGGAGCACCTCTGCTATGAGGAGAGTTGGGGGTGTTCAGCCTGGAGAAGAGAAGGCTCCAGGGAGATCTTATTGCGGCCTTCCAGTGCCTAAAGGGGCTACAGGAGAGCCGGGGAAGGACTTTTTACTGGGGCATGTAGTGATAGGACAAGGGGGAATGACTTCAAACTGGAAGAGGGCAGGTTTAGATTAAACATTAGGAAGAAGTTTTTCACTTTAAGGGTGGTGAAGCACTGGAACAGGTTGCCCAGGGAAGTTGTTGAGGCCCCATCCCTGGAGGTGTTCAAGGCCAGGCTGGAGGTGGCCTTGGGCAACCTGGGCTGGTGGGAGGTATCCCTGTCTATGGCAGGGGGGTTGGAACTTGATGATCTTCAAGGTCCTTTCAAACCTAAACCATTCTATGATTCTATGATTATCACTCCTCTGCCCGCTGCTGCCGGCTCCCCTTGAGCTGCTTGTGCCGCTGGTCCTCATCCACTGGGATAACTGGTGCAGTAGTTCCCACAGCTGGTGTCCAATTGTGCCTGTTTGGCACAATTTTGAAAAAATTTTGAAAACATGCAGTTTGACACCTGGGGAAGAGCAGCGCGTGTGCACCGTGCAGCCCCCACGCCATCCTCAGCCTCAGCCCCGCGTCCTCCGAGGATGTCCGCGAGGCTGAGATTGCCTATTTCGGCTGAGGAGCGCTACCAGGATCCAGACCGACCATCTGTGGTCACTGGAAATCACGTGGTAGTTTTTGTGAGGCCGCAGAAGTGTTGTGGCTGATGGCTTGGCTGGGGTTCAGCACCGGTAATTAATTTTTCCTTCCTGAGTTCCCCTCGCAGTTTTGTTGGAGGAGCCGCTTCCTTCCCCTCCGGCCCCAGACTGCAGCGGGAGTACCGCTGCAAGCTGGTAAACTCCTTGGCAAATGAAATCATCCCTCTATTTCTTCCCAGTAAGAGTGGTTCGAGGACTAATTAACAGCCCACGTTAATCTCTGGAGCAGTTTTCACCCTCTCTCTCGGAATTCTGTTTGGGGATGGATTTGCCTGGATAAGCGAAGTGTGCTGAAATCCTTGAATGAGAGGTGCTCTAAGATAACGAAGCACGATTGATAACGAAGCAGACTTGGGGACAGCGCCGGTCTTTTGAGCCTGGTTTATTCTGCGTGGCAGATCCCTCCCTCGAAGAGCAGCTTTGTTCCAGCACCATTCTGGGATAGATCAGTATGTTTTTATTGTCAGTTTATGGAAGGTCCTTGGGTAGCCGTGGCCGACCAGGTACCTTTCTTTGCTCCCCTGTCAGCCGAGCTGCCTAATTATTTTCTATTTGCATTTTGGGCACCATTTCTGACAAGTGCTGCCTGCCATCTGTCGAAGGAGGGATCCAGGACGGGTGTCATTCGATTTGCTTTATTCTTAAAGTGGAGTGACGATCATTCCTGTTAGCGGGACGTTGTCCTGGCAGAAGCCACAGCCGTTTTGCTGATGCCATTATCAGCACTGGTGGCAGAAACAGGAGGGAGGGGACATCTCTGCGTGGCTTTCCTCAGCGCGCATAGTTCACCGATGGCAGAGAGTTCTCCGTGTCCAGTTTCTCCACCGTAGGTATTGGTGTGCATAACAGCACAAAAGGATGCTGCGGTTTGAAGCACCCCTGGCTGTGGTACCAGAACAGCCAGGATGGAGTACAGCAGGAGCGTGTCAGGAGTATGTCGGGAGTATATCAGGAGTACATCAGGAGTATGTCACGAGTACATCAGGAGTATGTCAGGAGTACGTCAGGAGTATATCAGGAGTATGTTGGGAGTATGTCAGGAGTATATCAGGAGTACGTTGGGAGTATATCAGGAGTATGTTGGGAGTACGTAGGGAGTATGTCACAAGTATGTCGGGAGTACGCCAGGAGTATGTCGGGAGTACGTCAGGAGTACGTCAGGGGTATGTCAGGAGTACGTCAGGAGTACGTCAGGGGTATGTCACGAGTACATGTCAGCAGTACATTAGGAGTACATCAGGAGTACGTCAGGAGTATATCAGGAGTATGTTGGGAGTACGTCAGGAGTATATCAGGAGTATGTTGGGAGTACATCAGGAGTATATCAGGAGTATGTTGGGAGTACGTCAGGAGTATATCAGGAGTATGTTGGGAGTATATCAGGAGTATGTTGGGAGTCCGTCGGGAGTATGCACCAAGTAGGTTGGGAGTACGAGTATATCAGGAGTACGTCAGGAGTATGTCAGGAGTACATCAGGAGTATGTCAGGAGTATATCAGGAGTATGTTGGGAGTACGTCGGGAGTATGTCACAAGTATGTCAGGAGTACACCAGGAGTATGTTGGGAGTATATCGGGAGTACATCAGGAGTACGTCAGGAGTACATCAGGAGTACGTCAGGAGCTCTGTAGCTCCATGCAGTACCATCACCATCTTGGCTACCGAAGGAAAAACCTCAGTCACGCGCATTTCCAGCTGGCAAAGCCCCCCAGCCTGAAAGCGCATCCCGTCTCCGTGCGTTAATGCTTACCCCGTGGCTGCAGGACCGAGCGCCCGCGCTTCAAAAGCCAGTGCCTGAGAGACTGACTGCACCCAATAAACCTGGACGCTGCAGGTCAGGCTGGGCTCCCTCTGTCCCTCCTTCGTTAGCAGAAATAAATACTTGAGGACGGAGCTGGTGCTTCGGCCGCGTGCGAGGCTGGGACAGGGCTGGTCCCGCGGGACGGGCAGGCAGGGCAGCACCTCCTGCCCACCCCTGTGTTTTTTGCAGGCAAGCAGCTATTTTGCCAAGCAGTTTCAGGCTGGAATTAGGACGTATTTAAAGAGGGTAAGCAGGGGTAGGAGTTAATAATCTGCTTGTGCTTTGTGCCTGCGGGAGTTAGTGCCCAGCATCGCTGCCCGGAGCCATGGTGGGGGCGGGGGGGGCTTCATCCAGCTCTCCCCACTGGTTTTGGAGGTTTTGGAGCAGGGCCTGGAGAGCCCTGGGAGGGGAGGACTTGGACACCGCTTGCCTACGCTTTTCTTGGCCCTGGCAGCCACACGAGTCTCTCGCGTTCATAAGCACCGGCAGATTCATAAACAAAGTCAAGGGAAAATATCTAAAAGCAGCGACGTCAAAAGTTCACACGTTGGGTGACTGAGCAGGAATTCGGGGCTGATGGGATGACGATAAAAATCCGTAAAACTTCTGTTCCTCAACTACTACCAGAATATATTTATTTTTTTCTTTTTCGAGAATCAAAGTGCATCAAAGCCGCAGTAAAGCTCTGCAGCGTTCCGAATGGTTTTTCATCAACATCCGGGAAATTTCACGTGCCTCCGCCTGGTCCTTCAGGCCACAGCTGCATCTTCATCCCCAGCAAGAACAAGTCCTCTATAAATGCTGAAATATGGTGCCTACAGTAATAGCCCACTTAAAATGTCTCATTATTGCAGTTTAACTGGTCATTAGCAGCTGGAATAGACTGATTTCTTATGGGTTATGGTTGAAATAATTACCTGACACTATGAGCCATTAAAAGCCAGTTAATGAGTAGAGGAGGAGAAGGTACTGCCGTGGACGTGGGTGCAGGGCTTTGAGTGGGGGGGTCCTCTGTAGGAAACCAGGCTGAGATTTGTTGCCTGTAGGATCCAAAGTAATTTAAGCATGAGGTAAGTTAGGGAAATTGTTAAAAAATTAATCTGACACAAGTTTGACAACAGTCCAGCCAAAGTACTAGTTCTAAAAAGTGATTTTCATGATGTTTTGCTCTGTATATGCTGAGTTGCCCTGAGTTGCCTTTTTTTTTTTTTCTTTTTAAATGGAGCTTTTAGAGGCTGTGTAATTTCCAGAGAGGAAAGGCATCATGCTCCGGGAGCGTTGGCTGCTTCTGAGATACCACGTTCACTCAGAAACCTTGACGTGTTCTGTGTGCTTTCAATAAAAACGGCGTATTAGCTTTAGACGTGGTAACAGAGTGGAGTAGTTTAAGGGTGACATACAGGTGAAAATTTCTCCATCAGGAGAAATCCATTGACAGTCTTTGAGCATCCCATTGGCCCGGGCTGTGGTGTATGCCTGTTGACATGTCTTGTTGGAAGAACCACTGGAAGCTCCTGTTTATGGTAGGTGAAAGATGAGCAGGGCCTGGCACAGAGAAGGATTGAAGCGGGTAAGGTGGGAAGGTGGTTGCTGATATCTAGTCAACCTTGGGTTCTTCTGCTTGGGTTTATGGTGTCCGGCTCATGGGTGTGTAAGACTTGGGCAATACAGCTGTTCCTCCATCAGGAACGCCTGTAGTGGAGCATCCATGGCTTCATGGTAGGTGTTGTCACTCAGATGGTGTCACAGCTTTTGTTGCAAGCCTTGTGGTCCAGTTGCTAAGCAGCTCCCCCACTGATGCTTTGGCCTGGCCGTAAGCCCTGTTCTTCTCCCCGCAGTGCTCCATGCCGGCCTGCGTCACCGCGTTCCACGTCACCTGCGCCTTCGACCACAACCTCGACATGCGGACTATTCTAGCAGACAACGATGAAGTGAAGTTCAAGTCCTTCTGCCTTGAGCACAGCACCGGTGCCACCAAATTGCCCGAGGAGGCACGGACAGAGCCTGACCAAGCCCAGCTGGACTTGGAGAAGGTCACGCTGCGGAAGCAGAAGCTCCAGCAGCTGGAGGAGGACTTCTATGAACTCGTGAAGCCTTCGGAGGTAGCGGAGAACCTTGACTTAAGCGAATCACTGGTGGATTTTGTCTACCAGTACTGGAAGCTGAAGAGGAAAGCAAATTCCAACAAACCGCTGCTGACACCAAAAACGGATGAGGTGGACAACTTGGCCCAGCAAGAGCAGGACGTTCTCTACCGACGCTTAAAGCTCTTCATGCACCTCAGGCAAGACCTGGAGAGGGTGAGTACAGCTTTTCCTTCAGTGGTGTACCCGTATGATCCATCGGGGCTGCTTTAATGTGTGCTGGTGCCTTTAGACAGAGAAAGCCCTGTTCCCTCTTGATTCAGTTCAACTCCCTTAACAGTTGTGTCCCTTCACATCGAGAGTGATTCAGAGGATGAGGAGCACACACTCGTCTCCCCACTTCCCCTTATCCCCAGGCGAGCCTTTTGAAATCTGGTGGATCACATGGACCATCCAGTCCGCTCCAGTGCTCTGCACGTGCGTGTCATTGCTGCCAAAACGCTGACACTGGTGAAAAAAAGTTAGTGGTGGTCTCAGCCGGGGGTTCAAAAGAGCAAATGTCTGCGGGGAGAGGTTCATCAGTGGGGCCGGGTGGCTGGGAGACAGATGATGCTGCAGCTTATATCCACTATAGCGTAGTAGTCTCAAACCACAAAATTATCCTGTGCTGCCCCTCAGATGCTTCCCAGCAGCAGAGCACAGGAACACTTCGTTTATTTACTCACATTAAACATCAAAGGCGGGTGAATGGCGGGAGTGAGCTGCAGGGCCAGTGGGACTGGGCATTCCCTGCCCTGCCGCAGCCGAAAGTGGGTCGGCTCCTCGGGGAGCCGGCG